TCACAGACAAAACATCAATATCTGCAAATACCTACTTGCTATACATGCTATGGCCGTGTGCCACTCTACATTTACATGCAGATTTCTTGCTGAAGTTATTTGTAGCTGCATGCATAGATTACATTCAGTATAATTTTAAAATTTGTCTTCTTAGAAGTTATGTGCCAAATTTCATCCCTGTACAAACGAAAAAATGTCCTCCCTTTTTTTCTTTAAATATTACTTGATGTAAGAGAGTCAGTCAACAAAGTGCTTGGAAGTAAGATGTAAATGAAGCAAGGGAGGACAATTTTAGCATGCCTTAGGTGCTTCTGTGGCAGAAATAAATCATGAATACCTTGAGTTGTTTGTTGGTGGATGAACATCCTGCAACTGCAAATGGCAGCAAGACAGGAAAGCTTTATATGGCTGTGAAGAGAGTATGTACAGTCCTCAAGTGGCACAAAAAGAAGGGAAGATTCAACAATTTGTGCTTACAAAGTTCTGCAGTAATGTAAAAAAGTTGACTGTACTGAGAATGGTTATGCTAGGACAGTGTAAAATCATTACCCTTGAAGATAAAAAGATGGAAGATCAAGTAGTCCTGAGAATGTACTCTTAAAAGTAATGCTCAAAATATGTGATGCACTTTGAGAAAGCAGGTGTACACAACTGTCAGTGGCTTAGTTGACTTTGTAAAGTGTCCTGTAGAGTATTACAAATTCTGTTTTGTCTTAGACATTCTCTTCTTTGCTATAAAACCTCTCTGAAAAAATGTCAAAATGGATGCAGAATGTGAGTGCCACTGTACAGTTTATCATGGCATATCTGTGAATGGTTGAGTGAATGCAGGATTGTGATTTCCTCACACTTCACATACTTTTAGAATTTAGTGAGAGAAATGTTTTTCTCCAGTCTCTGCCCTCTACTGTTGGCATTATGTTGTGAATGAGGGGTTAGGCCTCTTAAAGAATCACCTTCAACTGTATTGACAAAATGCAGGTTTTAATATGAACTTTCTGAAAGTGTGACTTTAACAGAGTTCAATGGTAAGGTTCATTCTATTACTTACTACATAGACAATACATACACAGGGAAATCAGATTGAAATCAATTTAGAATGATTTACACAGAGATTGGGGATGAAAAAGGGTAAGGACGCAAGGGATATCGACACAAAAGATAAAACTGCAAAAGTGTTTAGCTGCACTAATCAATGACTAATTTCATATCTATAAAGTGATTCAACATGATTTTCTACAATTGTAACAGTGGCATAATTATAGATTTGTGATAACAGCATTCATAATCAATTCATACACTTGCTCACAGGCAGAGATGTATACATCTATATCTGTGTGTGTAAAGGTACCTAACAAAAATTCCCCTTTGGTTCAGCAAAACATGTCAAATCCCTGAGCGTTTCTCAACAGGCATGGGTTGCACCTCAAGGAGTATGAACGTGTGTGGGGTATCAGCCTAGGGCCTTGTTGTCAGTGACAGTCTTTCAAATATTGCAGCTTTAAGGGTTTGTGAATACCAGAGGCATCCCACTCATGCAGCCTGCTTCAGTCCAGGAAAGCTCAAAGGGACTCTCTTGCGAGAACTATTTCTAGGGATTATGAGATAATTGCTTATAGTCATCAGTAAATTTCTGTCCGGGCCACGAACAAAGTTGGTAAGTACTGCTACAGTGGTACTGCCTCACTTGAGCTATGATTCAGGTAACCAATCTGGTAAGGCAAACAAGGACAACTTTGTCATTTTTCACCACCTTGGTCAGGTAGCTGTTATGGTCAGGATTGTTCCCACGTGTGTCATGCAACAGCTCCTGGTACTGTCAAGGAATGCTTCACTGCCCAACTGATATGGCCATGGGACACTTCACCCCTCAACCAGTTTGGTCAAGGCTTATCAGGGGCTCCTGAGTTCACAAAGCATGCATAAGGGCAATTATCAGGGGCTCCTGAGTTCACAAAGCTTGTATAAGGGCAGCGTGGAATGGGACAGGAAAGGATGCACAATTACACATTTTTGTCTGCAGTGCAGTCCTTCAGCACATAGTATAGCTCCACAACTCTTCCATTTTGCTCAGGAATGTGCCTTATGTTGGAAAGTATTTGTCAGACTTACTTGTTTCTAGTTGCTATTGTAAACTTTAGTTGGCACAGAATTTTTCTCTGTAGCAACAAGCTTATCCTCACCAGCCTATGGATTCTGTCATAAAAAGGCTTTCATCTCAAGTACTTTAAAATCAAGAATAAGTTCTATTTAGGATTGTGCTTTCAAATAGATAAATCTTTTTTCCCTTTAAAGAATAGAAATACAAATACATCCACTCTAAAAAATGGAATCATAGATCATGGCCAAGTGAGACAAATATGCTTTGTAGTAGAACTTATCAGAAAGCCATTTTAGGTTGTACTAATTTGTTAATGTTGTTAAATGTGGATAGATAAAATCCTGGTTTTACACTATTCCCCTCTAATTCATCTTGAGAAATAAACTAAAGAGAATTCTCTTCCTTGTACTTCTTCATTCTAGAAGAGCATAGGAGGCACTGGTACTGCACTTCTGGAAACTTGGCCCCTAATTTCTCTGATTTTCAAGTAGTGATGTTTTTGGAATGAAACAATTTCCAAGAGAATTGAGTATTTTGGAGATAACATATATTAGCAAATGTACTTACATATGGCAGTATTAAATTTTTGTGTTAGTCATTCTAGCAGCTTTTTTTCCTCAGTTAGTAAAATCTCTGGATTTTCTTTTTGTTATATGCTTAATATTTCATCTTATAGTGATATACTAATTTGAGAGCATTGAAACAGGTTAGTAAAGCTCTGAAGAGAACTTTGAGATGCCAAGTTATGCACAGAAATTTTACATCTGTGCCTTTCAGGTTGGGATATCTGATTGTCCTGTTCTGTCATATGAGACATGCATTGTTTCTTCTAATTTTATCTGCAATTTAGCTCCACTACAGATAATTACAACCTATATTCACTTCTATATGGATTTGTTTTCATCTTATGACCAAGGGTTGGATTTCCTATAGGATTTCCTAAACGGAATTATTTGCTCTATTAATATTAGAAGACTAAAATTCACATCTGCCTTCCAAATGATCTATTTTCTCTGTCTTTGGGCAGCTGCATCTTCTGATACTTTCTCGTGAGTTGACTTCAGACTCTTAATGTTTGCTAGTTGCCTCACAAACTGATAGCCTGAGTTGGGTTTTGCAAACTTCTACCTGTTAACTTTGTAATTCAAATTAGTTTTAGTTTCCTGTTTACTTTCTGCATCAGCTGGAAGATCATCAATAATATGCAATCAGTAAAAAGTCATCCACTGTGGAATAAAGCCTTGCTGGTTTGATTAATACCTATAAGTTTTGAATACCAATGGAAATGAAGGGCATGTAATTTTTTTGACCAGTAAACCCTTACCAAATTAAATGAATAGTGCTAAGAGAGTTACACTTTATAACTTACTGCAGTAGATGTAGTTATCTAAACTCTCATAACAACAAGAGACTATAGGAGAACTTTGTGGAAGGTGAGGCAACAAAAATAAAGGGAACATTGAAATGCTACAACACTGTGTGGGATTTTGAGTGTTCTACAATATGCACAGTACCAACTGAGTGAAACATAAATAAATGTATGAATTTATATTATTTTATTGGGAATAAAATACTTGCATTTTGGTTTAGAACAGGCATTCTGAAAATGGTGTTATTCACCTTTGTGTTACTCGGATATATTACTTGGGTAACAGTATTCTGTGGTAGCTATACCATTTCTCTCATTACATAGCTATATTTGCATATTGTTTATAGGGAATTCTTAGTTTACAGTTTGCCAAGTCTTGTACTGTGTAGTTTCTTGCTCTGAACTTACCTCTTTTATATGTGCCCATGCACATCCACAAACACACATGTACAGGAGTGTTTCAAGAGCTGTTGGCAGAGATTAAGAAGCAGATGCTGTAGACTTCTTGTCACTATGTTTTCCATTGAGTTTTGATTAAAAGAATAGTATAGACCATTTACTAATCCCCTATGACTTATTGCCATAATAACCAGAACTGACTGTAAATTGACAAAATACATCCTATTGTTTGATTTTATTTTAAATGCTCCAATTGATTAACAGCTATCTATGACTTTCATAGTGATTTCCTCAAAATAAAAGGACAGTTATACTTAGAAATTATTCCCTTAGCAACCTTTCTTGTACATCACTTTCTGTTTTAAGATGCTTTTCACTTTGTACCAATTCTTTCATGCTAAAATATGGGGAAGTGTCTCATGGCCCTTTCCCTGCAATTGTACTTTCTGTTATGCTTTTCACTTTGTACCAATTCTTTTATGCTAAAATATGAGGAAGTGTCTCAAGGCCCTTTCCCTGCAATTGCACAAGCATATTCACATCTGCTTCACAAATATATTAGCTTGTAACGAGCTCAGTGAAAGACTGACAAAGAGAAGACTTCTATTGATATGTACACTTTAAATAGTTTTAAAAGATGTGATAATGGATATGCTTTTCACTTTGTACCAATTCTTTTATGCTAAAATATGAGGAAGTGTCTCAAGGCCCTTTCCCTGCAATTGCACAAGCATATTCACATCTGCTTCACAAATATATTAGCTTGTAACGAGCTCAGTGAAAGACTGACAAAGAGAAGACTTCTATTGATATGTACACTTTAAATAGTTTTAAAAGATGTGATAATGGATGTTCATGTTTTCTGCAAGATGCAATATTTGTCTTCACTTCTATCCTTGCAATAGTGCTTTTAATTTTCCCTAAATGCTGCTATGTCAGTTTAGCAAAAAGGGAAGTAGAATAAATCTGTTTCCTTACTTGTAGGGAGAATAGAGCTTTAAATTTCTGGCCACCTAGTAAAAGAACAAACCTCCTCCGTGTAAAGTTTGCATTTTGCATAATCTGATTGTCTGCTTCAGCTTGTTTCTTCTGACTTATGGACTGTTTCTGTTTTTGTATTTCTGTTAACAGAAAGCTGACCTTGCAGTTGCACCATTGGCAATTACCTATGTTCGAGAGAAGGTCATCGACTTTTCCAAGCCCTTTATGACTCTTGGAATAAGTATTTTGTACCGCAAGCCCAATGGTACAAACCCGGGCGTCTTCTCCTTCCTGAATCCTCTCTCCCCTGATATCTGGATGTATATTCTGCTGGCTTACTTGGGTGTCAGTTGTGTGCTCTTTGTCATAGCCAGGTAACATGTCAACTTTTGTGATTTTTTTGGCAATTGTTACCATCTTTTTCTTACTAATAATTGTCAAAAGTCACAAAAATTTTCTTACTTTCATACTCTTATATTTAAAATTAATGATGTACAGAAGAATAATTAATGATGAGGGTTCTCACTATTAATATTCTCCACTGCCATACTAAGTCTCCAGTTTGTTATGTCACTAGGCCTTGAGTATGCTAGCCAGATTTCTTCTTTTATTTACAGATTTAGAGACACTAGAAAGTTCTTGAAATACCTTTTCCCAATTAGTCCATGTTTAGAAAAACAGGGTTGACACATTTTATTTTGTTAGCCTGATTTAATTTCATACTACAGTGCTTAATCTCAAATTGAGTACTTAGCTGCCCATGTTAATTCTAGAGGTCCAAATTGTTCCTCTACCTGTTACAAAACTGTTTGCTTCATGTAGATTAGTATTTTAGGAGTGGAGTAGCAATATTTATTTTTCCAATTGTATGCTAGGTAAAACCTCAGAGATACCTCACAGAATTTCAAGTCTCAGAGTGGAATGTATTTGGAATCTTAGTTGAGCTTTTGGAATTGAGGAACACAGTATATTAATTGTTAAATTATAAATTGCTTTGATATATAGGGCTCACTTTTTATCAGTTTTCTTCAACACAGACAAGAAGAAAAGCATCTTTTGTCAAAAATGCCCAATATATATACATCTTCCCTGTTAACTAATTAGGGCTGAATCCAGATGCTCACAAAAATATAGTCTTGCATATTGTAACTTTGCCTTTTGCTGTGATAGCAAAAGGAAAAAAAATCAGAACAGTAAATCAGTGATTCCCAGGTTTATAAATGTAATGTCTTTTGCAGAGTCCTCCTAGTTGTCACCTGTAATTTTTTTTTTTAATCAAAGGCATATAAACTAGATTGGCTTTTATCTCTTTAATAAGATGGAGCCTTTTTTGTTTGAGTTGATAATGCAATCTCACTTCAGCCCTGAGATTACTGATTTCATTTTGTGGTACATAGTAGAGTCTTCATATTTTTCCCTTTCTATTGTGTTGTAGTTAGTATCAGGATTCTTCATCTGTCTTTGATAGTCTCTGTTGTATTTTGGAAAAGTTGTATCATTCTTCTACTAGGGAGAAGCAATATTTTTAGAAACCAGTTTAAAAGTAATTTAGCACCAGTACATGAATTACATGAGATATTGAAGTAATATAGATAACACTGAAACATATTGTGTAATGAATAACTTTGCTGTGTACTTTCTTTAAAAGTGTGCTTTACAGAGCCAGACTTATGTTGAAAGTTTCTTGAAAGAACAGTAGACTTTAGTACACTCATTTCAGAGTACACTCATTTCAGAGGTGTACACTCATTTCAGAGGTGTTCCAGCGATACAGATAGTTCTGAAAGCAGAGCTGAGCATAAATCACAACTGTTACCTTGTGAAATGCCTCATGTGAAATATTTATGTGTATGTCCAAAAGTTTTAACCCTACTGTTATCACTGAAGGACGTTTTCATCATGATGCACATTGCTTTTGACAGGCAGCTCCCACTAATGTTAGTAGGAGTTGTATGGCTGAGTTCCTACTTATGCTTTGAAAATGTGTCTTGGCATATTTTGTAGGAAAGATACATTTTCTTAAAGTTTTTTTTTTTTTTAATTAAGCTATTCAGTCACTTGAGCTCACTAGCAGAACTGGAAAGAATGCTTATTTTTATACAGAAGCACTAGATAGTAGGCCAATACTGCTGAATTTTTTTTTGCTTGTCTGTTTCTGTGAACAGCACCATAAATTCCTTATGTAATTGGAGGCATTTTCTTCATTGTAAAGCAATATGAAATATGTTTTATACTGAACAAAGATTTTTTTTTCGCACAGTTGTAGAAGATACCTTTTTACACTTAAATTTATATCAGCCTTCAGGTCTAGAGATTTTCAATAATTCTTAGCTTGTACAATCAAATATTGATAACACATTTAGAGGTAAAATATATAGGATTATGTAAGACGATCTATAGATTTTATTCCTAATGCAGAATGACTTAATAGTATGTGATAGCA